ACTCTTTCACAGGCTACAATAAATTAATTACTCCCCTGAGTAATAAGGAAATACTCGTATTATTTATGTTGTCTGTGGCATTAGGCTTTTTGGATCTTTTCATGGAATAAGGCCATTTCAGACCATCTCTTACTCAAGACTAAGTACGAAACAATAAATCATCAGTGAGAGTACGGACTGCAATCCATAACAGTGGTTCTATTAATTTGAAGTTTGACTTAACAGGCACATAAAGTTCATAATTCCCAGAGATTCCCATTTTTTTCACATCCTTTCAAATAATTAAAGATATGTGATCTACTCCCACCAAAGAGATGCAAGAGAGAAAAAAGATATCAGAGGTTTGTTTGTCTAGGTCATTTTTTTTGACATGTGCCCATACTTTAACTATGAAATGACTCACCCAAGATGAAACACTTAATTCAAAACCACACACTACCTGCATCTTCACTAGATGTGTATGAGACACTGAAACCTCTGGTTGCATGGGACATGTCTGTCACAAAAATGACCTTCATTGTGTTTCCAGAGGATTTCACCTCAGTGCCTGGGTTCACATCACCACACAGCTTGGCCAGCCGAGGCGAGTTCTCTCTGAGGCCATTGTAAATCTGTTGGGTCAAAATAAGCTCTTATGAGCAAAATAAGCTCTTATGAGATCAAAATACGGTCTTGTGAGAATTTCCTGTATCATTTAGGAGTGCTTCACATCTTTAATACAAAGTTCATTGATGTCTCTCACAGCCCATTAGTTCTCAAATCTACTCAAAACTTTGGCACAAACTTCCATTGACTTGAATAGATAAGTCTCTGAAGTATAACATCAAAAATACCTTGCTTATTCTGGCAAAACATAAACATATGTCCCATCTCTATCCCTCTTTTTTTTTTTTCTTTTAACAGAAATTGAAACAGTTTGACTGGGAAATGTACTGCATTTTTGCTCAGTATTTATATCTTCAGTCACTTAATGCCAGTTACTGATCATATTAATTCTATTTCAAATGATCACCTCTGCAGTTTTGCTAAAGCCAACAGCAGCTTTATCAAAAATCCCCTCCAAAATATCTGGTGCTGGTGGGTAGTTTCAATTAGCTCAAAGATTTCACTTTTTGATGATCCAAGTGTATTTTACAGTTTTTTTTCATTCAGCCTTTAGCCTAAGAATTAATTTCCTTCTTTCTACTATCTCAGCAGTGCAAGCAAGGCAGAAACAAGGCTTCCCACTGAGATTTGGAATATGTTATAGTGCTGAGGATACAAAAGCTAACAGGACAGCTAGTCCTTTAAAAGATCATTACTTCATTAATCGATAAAAAGCCAGCTCCCCATGCTTTGTCTAAAGCATCTGTGAAGGAAAACAAGGGAAAGATCATCTACAAATCACAAGGGAGAGTTACTTCACCCCCTCATGTTTATGCATGGTCTAGTTTCTCACCATGCTAAAGCCTATTCCTGTGTCTACACTGCTAATATGAGCAGGGGGAAAACTAAACTAGATCTTCCATTCCTGCAATTACATGGAGGAATCATATTTTTGGGGCATTTGTACATCTGACTGTGTCTAGTTATGTGTGCCAGGTTTGCTTTTTTTTTTTTTTCCCCCACTAAATAACTAAAACTCTAAATGATAAAATAATCAAAAACCTTTTTCGAGATGAAGGTGGTGAACAGGTAGAATTTCCTGAGGTTTGTTTGTCTGTCTTTCAGAATATGAAAGGTTCAACACAGTAGTAGCCATAAGGGACTTGAGCTTTGTGTCCACAAAGAAAAGACATTGAAAGCTTCAAAAAAACAAGAGTTTTTTTTCCATAATTGATAAAGAGCTAATTACAATTATTTCTTCAAATCCTCCCCTCTGCCTGGCCCAGAATTCCAAAATTTCCATACTCCATTACATACAGATTAGTTTAGACACCCTACAGAGCTAACTTTCTCTCACTTATTTGTTTTCCCCAGATTAAATTATGATTTGTCTTAAAACCATTAAAAAAAAAATTAAAAAGAGATTTTAGCTCCATTATGCCCATTAATTCTCCATAAAGGGATTAGGAAAAGCATTTTCTGCCTTCGCACACATCACTCACAGCCACGTAATCTGATGAGCACCTCCAGTGTTCTTCAGTGTTCATATCATTAAAGGTTAGGGTCACACGTTGACCTTCTTCCACTGTGATCCTCCACTCACACACTCGATTATGGGGGTATAGGTTGGGATAGTTCGGTGAAGTAAATGTTCCAACAGGGGCAGTAAAATCCCCACCACATGCTGAAATACCAAAACATTGGGACACTTCTTTAAGCATTCCTTCTAGAGTTATTGCAAAGAAACATTAGCAATGCAAGAAAGAGATCCCAAGAGGTTGAACTGATATGCCTGTCCTGTCCATATGTTTGTCTAAACAGCTAAGTTCCTGCCAGTCTTTATCACTCAGCCATAAATGTAGTTGAATATTAATTGAACATAGCAGCTCCTTTTAGTCTAATTATTAATATTCCCTTATCTGAAGGGCTCATGCCAGGCTTCAGAAGCCTGAGTCACCCATAGGATTTGATGTCAAATGATACAAGCCCCTCACTGTGGCAGGACTGAGACAAGACAATTCTGCCCTTCATATGACTGGGCAGAGCTACACAGAACAAGCAAGAGGCTCAAAGTGGATAATGATGAAGGATATGATTTTCCTCTGCTGGTTAACAGAGGCAGAGCAAAACCTTGCAGGGATTTTAAGCAACACTTTTTCAGTACAGTTTTTTTTTTTTTCCTATCTTCATTATGAATTTTTTTTTAATCAAACTTTGTTGTCAAATTGTGCTCTGAGCAAAGAACAGTAAAGGCCTTGGGTATAGAGTGCATTTTTCTTCTGAGATTAATGGCATAAATTTACCAGTTTACACTTAGTTTCCTTTTAAAAGACAGAAATATAGTTTAATAGACTGCAGTGGGAGATTTAGTCCCTCTCCTCACCCTCACAGACTCCTGAAGAATAGGCTAATCTGTGTATCCATCTGCATTAAATTTTGCTAATATGTTTTCTCTTCTACAATTGCATAGCAGGGTCCTGGAAGTGGAAGAGCATTCTTCTGGAGTTTGTTTCCCCTCTGTTATTTTACTGCAGAAGTAATCACGAAGAATAAGGAAACTTTCAGCTGAGCTTTTAAAGGAGCTGGAAGGAGTTAAGAAGGTTTGGCAGGAGATATTTGAAGATAATACCAAAAAGAATTTTCCCAAAAAAGTCTTCACTGTGAGGGCTATTGAACACTGGAATAGGTTGTCCAGAGAGGTTCTGGAGTCTCTGTCCCCAGAGTCATTCAAAACCTGATTGGTCACAGTCCTGTACAACTTTCTCTACCTGACCCTGTTTCAATAGTGGGGCTGGACTGCCTTATCTCCAGAAGTCCCTTCCAGCCTCAATGACTCTGCAGTTCTGTGATTTTGCTTACAACCTGCTGTTTAAAAACTACAGGTTTTAGGGAGAATTAAGAACATCACTCATGTCAGAAGGACAGAATAACAAAGGAAAATCCCAGCATTTCTTTACCTTCCTCCTTATTAAGAGGGATGTGGAGAAGGTATGGTAGGACATCCATGGACTGACAGCTGGAGAGAAATGGTGTGGAAGAGTGTGCTTTACTGTATGAGACCTTCCCCTGATGGAAATATCCATTGTAGTGGGATACTGCTTACCTCTTAGAGTTTCAGCTTGGCTAAGTAGTGATCAGAGAGCCCTATTCATAGTTTGCCCAGAGTTTAAGAGCAAATACATACCACTCCAAGACTAAGTGATCTACAGTATATGCCATATTAGTGCAGCTTTTGTTTGTGGTATATGCTGCTTCCCCAAAAGTAATTTGCAGCCTTACAAATCTGACCTTCATCACTGGATTCAAAGCGCAGTCTGAATCCTCGGGCATTGACTGATCCATCACTGACAAACTTGACATAAGCAAAGCTGTCAGAGGTGTACACAGCATCAGGGAGAGTATTACCACAGTACCTGCCCAACAAATTTCCTGCAAAAATCAAATACAGAAAGGCAATTTTATATCCACATATTATTTATATTTCTATTGAAGGATCACTTTCCAAATTAACCGGACAGGCAGGCAGGAGTAAACTACTAAAATCAACTTACTGCTTTGTTTATAGAAGCATTATAGATGGGTTTTATCTGCCTTTGCTTCAGCAAGCAAGGCAGATAGAAGCAAGCACTGTACATGGAAAAGGCTCACTTGGTACCCAAAGGGAAATGCTTTGAGGAACCTCTAGTAAGGTTTCAGAGTACTACTAGGGAAGGGAAGACAAGTACTGAAATCATTCTCAGACCAGAAGCGTTGTATTCTCGGATCTCCACAAAGTCGTTTGTGCACTCAGAGGAGTTTTGGATATCTAGGCCTTCTACTCTGACGGTAAGATAGTGGCCCCTGGGACCCTGCAGAAACCATTCACACAGCAGGTTGTCTTGATAATGTAGCTCAGGATACCCTGTGCTTTCAACGATGCCACTTTGTCCTATCACCGTTCCACCACAGGAAGCTGCAAAAGGAAAAACATTGTTTTACTGACTGAAGGACCTCAGAAAGATGACCTTTCTCCTAAACAAGATCTAAAACTAAGGGCCAGATGACTTGTTTTCTGACTGTGGTAATAAAACAATAATTGCCTTCAAGTTAAATGTCTTCCACATTCCTCTTCTAATTCAACCAGTCCTAGTTTGTTGTGGTAGGTTTTCTATGTGCACCCCCTTCCATTCCAAGCATCCCTTTCTCTCTGTCTTATCTCTCACTATTTTGAATAAAATCATAGATTTCAAGGTCTATATCTAATCTCTACCCATGTCCATATTTACCAGAAAATCTTGGGAAGCTGTATCAAATAATTATAACAAAATTTAGTTGGCTAAATGTGGATCTAAATTTTTTATGACTAACAAAGTTTGACTGCTGGTTTGGGCCTACAGCTATGGTTTAGATTCCTCTTCTTACTCCTGCAGTCCACTCCCGTTCACATGCCACTCCTTGTGATACCTTTGTAAGTGACCACTGCACAATTTGGGAAACATTTCTTTTTGATTTTCTCGCTCTGAAAACTCATTTCTCTGTGGTACCTGCAAACTTAAGTTCATAATACTAAAGCTTACAGAAAGTAATATTCCTAGGTGGAATTTATTGGACTTTACAGTGTATTCTACATGTCTGCTAGTTACATTCTTTTTGTGGCCATAACAGCTCTGTTAATGCTCTCTGCTTTTCTGAGTGATTACTTCTTTGTTCCAGAATGACTGGCATACAGCTGAGATACTGTAAGTCTATTATGGATAAATATAAATTGTACCTTCATATACTAACAGTATTTTCTTGCCAGTTGCTTCAGTTTTCACATTCAGAAATATAATAGCACATTACATTGGCTGAAGTGTTTGAGATCTAACACAATCAGAAAAATTCTGTGTAAGGCAATATAGTCCACTGCTTTGCCTTTGAGAAATTAACAGTCCTAGACTTTCTTCTATGAGTGATACTAAAATAATAGCTGCTATTCTTTCAGGATTATTAACATTACAAAACAAAGTAGCAGATTTCTGAATCTGATCAAAGACTATTTTTTATTTAATTTTAAAACTTTGCTAGTGCTTTCTAATCTTGTTTTCACAGTTTGAAAGAAAATAATTTAAAAGTATTTATTTTCCCAGCTGACAAATAATAGTTCTTACTCTTTGTTCCGTTTTCAGTCCATTGTTGTGCTGCTCCTGTTTGTCTAGCAGTGCTACTATTATAGATTGATTTACATTTACATAGAGAATCTCCTAACTTGTTCTTCTGCCAACTCTCATCTGACCTTTGCATTCCCCTTCAGGATCCTTCTCATGAAAGTGACACTAAATTTGCATGCTGAAAATCAAATCATGTTACATGACTTTATCCATGTTGACCTTTTTTCCTACTTGACAACTGCCTTTGACAAGAGGTTATCCAGTGTTTGTTTCCACTGCTGCAGATCTCTGAGCACTTTCCTATTCCTATTTCTATAATTTTCACTTCTTGCTAGGTGCAGCTCATGCTGATGTTAACCCATATGATGACTCTGACACTTTAGCTCTAACATTAATTGAAAGAGGCACATACCTGTCAGTCCACCTCATAGACATGATTTAAGCCCTACTACAAAAGCCTGACACTTGAGACAAATATCTGCTCTAAAATCAGAGAAACTGATAAAGGCAAGCATTACCGAGGGAGTATTTAGCATTGAATCCAACATGCGTGGCATTGCTGTCAGACCTGAACCTCAGGTACATGACAGCTCCTGAGGATCTCTGTGAGCCTGGCATCAGATCTCCACACAGCTTGGCAATGACTGGGGCAGTGGAGTCAGCACCATCACGCAGCTCTAGGTAACTGGAAGCACAGCTGGGAGAGGAGAGAATTCGCTGTTCAATGTGTAGCAGTAATGGTTTGAAATCATTTCTGTGCACAAAGGCGTGAAGCTGCAGTGAATTACATCAGTTTCTGTGCAGTGTGTCCAGGACAGAATCAACAATTTCATAATCAATGATAGCTATGCAATATTTCAATCAAAAGAAGCATGAGAAACATCAAGGAAGATTCACCCCAACCACAGACTATGATCAGATCACATCTAACAGAAGCAAGTCCTGAGAAGGGCTGTGAACAGCACTGATAAAGTAGTTATGACCATATCTAATGTTTTTTTTTTTTTTTGGCAGCATTTGTATTCACTATTAAGATATTCACTATGAAGTCTCACTGATGACTGCTGAATTAAAGAATAGATAGAAGACCACTGAAGGGAATAAAAATCCATATGTAGGGGTTTATTTGGGTGGGCATAGAAAGACTCAAAATATCTTAACTAAGATCTTTGACTTCAGAATGGTGCAAAGTCCTGGGAAGGCAGAGAGAAACGACACCTTTCGGATTCTCCATCCTGCACCATTTTTTCCAGACATGGTCTCACGGGTGAATCCCACCTTTGCCGTAGAGTGGTCCAACCCCAAGTCAACAAAGCTACATCAGCTGGAAATTAGGCCTTGTTTTATGCTTCAGGCAGAGAGTGCAAAATGTGTAGACCAACTGCAAATCAGCAGACCAGCAATGAAGGAGGCAGACAAATTGTTGTGGTGAGAGTCCCTTAGATTTAAAAGCGCCTGAGAATCAAAATGACTGAAAAACTAAACATAAAAGAACTAGAGGGCACGAGTTTTATAGAAAGAACCTTTCTACCATGGATGCTTCCTTCCTGTCTATTAACTTCTGTCATAGACTGCAAAGTCCTAGGAATATACACTAGTGGACTGATAACTTCAGTGATCTCTGTCAAAAATTACTTAACCACTGTTCATTGTAGATCTAGAAGTGCACACTGGGAGGAATTAGAGAAAGGAACAGGGAAAGAACAATCAGACTGGAGTCTATGAACAAACACAGGTAAAATAACGTGGATGTATACTTTGCTGAAGGTTCAATGGAGAGCTGATCTTCAAATTGCAGCTCTACTGCATGTCCATTAGGAGCAGTTATGGTCCAGACACAGTCAGCATGCAGGGGATAATTGCTTGGATAGTCGGGAGAAGATATATATCCACTGGGGTTGAAATCATTGATATAAATATTCCCTCCACAAGCTGGGAAAGAAAAGATCACCAATAAAAACCAAGGTGTTAAGGAAATGGGTGAGGCATTAAAACTATGAGTCATCACTATATTCTAACACAATTCCCTGTCAATGTCATATAAAACAAACACATTTTACTGCTTACCATGGGAAAATAGTTTAATGCAGTAGAATCCTATGCTCCTGCCTATGTAGCCTTCCTCATTTCCAAATGTTCATGGCCCTGAATTAAATTGCTAGTAGTTCTTCCTTGGATTGCTTCTAAACCAAGCAGCAAACATATTCCTTGACTTGTTCCTACTCCAATTCCCAGGAGCTAGAAAGCTTAGAAGTCAGACCCACCAATGTTTCTTGTGAAGCATTCCCCAATTTTGCTTTCCAAAAATTGTAATGTCTGTTTGAGATAATGAATGCATGAGGAACAACAGTGAGATTAAACATGAGGTTTTGTTCAGGTCCTTTATCCTACAAAAATATCTTTACTTTGGCCAGAACCTTTATGTAAAAAAAACCACTATGTTATAAACCCACTGTGTTATTGGTTTAACACAGGTTTTTAGTCAAGTTTTATAAATTGAAGTGGTAGAAATACTATTGTGCAGCTTTACCCATTCCCTTCATGGATTCCCTATAGTAACACTAAGAATGATCCTCTACAGCAGCAGGGAAAAATAGGCAGAAAACAAGGACTTAAAAATGTGAGTAGGTTGACAGGTTGCTTTAGTTGTGTTGAGTTACATTGTTTAACAGGAGGTCTCCTGGTGTCCCAACTGACATGTGTCATGAATAGAGTGGCATAACTGCGAAATTCAAGTCCCTGGTTTACCCCCTGGACCTGAGTCTCCTTTTTTTTTTTTTTCCATTCATTCAAAAAATGTTAGCTCTGGGAAGGAATATTGTTTTCTCAGCTGAGACTAAAATTTGTGAGAAATGTTATCACCTTTCTAGACATTCTAGTCTAAATCATTCCTGACATCATTTAGTACTAGTACTGGGTACTATATGTTCAAAAGCGTGTTGTTGTTTCCAGGGTTTGTTTTCCTCTCATGTATGAATTTTGAACAGCTCTTCCTAACTATAGATGCTACTTCCCTGCTAAAGGGTTCTCCATAAGCTGAAGGGTTTTTTTAACTTTAATATCTCCAGGTTCTGTGACCTGGAGCTGGCTCTCTTTATAAAGGAGCAATTTGAGAGTAGGATCCAAAGTCACATACTAGAGAAGGAAACAGGACATTTTTGCAGATATCTGATTTTACCAGGGTTAGGACTTATAGCAAAAAACCTCCTTTAAGAGGACGAACTCCAAGTTATATCTATCAAGTCACAGAATTTAGACTTACCTAGACTCTTAGCCTCATATTTCAGTTTGAATCCTTGACCCTCATTTCTGCTGTCAGAAATGAAGTGGACAAACAGCTGATTGTCTGTGGTATACATGGTGGAGATGGCACTGCTTCCACAAAACCGGCCGTCCCTTCTTCCAGACACCAACGGTGGGGCAGCACTATCTAACCCATTCTTCAGCTAGAAGAGAAATTGCTAATGTCACTCAAGTAAACAGCCCTGGAAAGTAAACTTTGAGCACATACTATCTTAATGCTTCTAGACATGGGGGAAAACAATAGACTAGTGATTAATTAATGCACAGCAACAAATAAAAGAAAGAGAGAGAGAGGGAGGGAGGGAGGGAGAGAAATAATCTCTGTGCTATTTCTCTTTGTGCTATTTCCAAACCCTGACAATTTGGGCTGCCTTACTGACACTGAAATGTCAAGAAGATCCACTAGCTTCATAGCTTTGAGGGTTCAGTGACTTAGCCCATAACCTCACCTCTACATAATCCCCAAGGCTGCAGGAAGTATCCTCACTCTTAACCTGGAAAGGCTGTTCAAAATGGACAGCAATGACAGATCCAGAGGTTACCACTACACGCCAGGAACAATTCAGATTAGGAGCGTAGTCTTGAGGGTAGCTGGGGGTTGTTATCACACCCTTGTCTGCATGCAAATAGCCTCCACAACCTGAGAAACAGAAGTTGAAGGAAAGACAAAAAAATATTAGCATCAACTGTTCACATATTCATTTAGAGGAAAACCTCTCTCTCCTAAAAGGAAGATGTGACAAGTAAAACCAAATGTTGAAGTACACGAAGAGCTGAGGGGGCATACAACAATGTACACAATGAATCATCTCCCAAACACAAGCTAGGAGATTGCAAGACAACACACATCAAACATCTTTACAGTGAGAGTCTGTTCTCAGATTTGACAGACGAGTTAACATTTATGTTAAGGACCTTCCACGGCATGAGCATATTGTTACACTGTCTGAGTACATTGCTTCTAGCCATGGGCCAAAAGACTGTCACCTACTCAAGCTGACAGTCAAAAAATCTTCCCGTGGCTGCCTATTATTATCCTAACACCTTCCTTGGTGCCTCAGCACATTCAGGAATCTGTTATCAACCCTCCATGTGGGAGGAATGCTACTGG